AGCCTAATGTAACTTTTTATAGTTTCTAAAATGATGAATGAAAGGTGGATTTTTAATATAGTCATTATATAAGATTCTAATATTGCCAGACGCTTGTGTGAAAATCAGAGAATAGTTTTACCTAAAAAAAATTGATGTCATGTCTGTTGTAGTATATTACTACTTCTGTAAAAGTAATAGTGATTCGGGGCTCCCCGGCCGGCAGGTGGTCCGCGCTGGTCAACATACTTTGATACACCGAAACCATCGACAGATCTAATGGAATCAATCATAACTACAACCCCGGACAATTCAAGCCGTCGAAATTGGACAAAGCATTCCTGATGCAATAAAGCTATTCAATTTTACGTGTAAATTGTAACCACAAAAGCTAGCGGTAAATTTTTGAATGTTTGGAGTTAAAATACAGCAGAATTTATTTAAATACAGCAACGTTTACGACAAATATGTGAGCATTTACGCAAAACAACCGACTGACGTGGGATCGCGTGCAATTTTCGCATACAACGGAGGCATGAGCGCTCACTGCGCTCGAGCAATTATTTTAAACACATTTCAACAAATGACGATAATGTCAGCCGGTCGCAGAGATAAGAACAAAAAACATAAAATATAAAAACGCTCACTGAGCAATTGTTCGAACCCTTCAAAAGAACTCGTTCACATATTATTCATAATCAGAATCGCTTCCCTCATACCTACTTACTTACACAAGTCCAAAAATATTTTAAGAATTTTCTTTTTACACAAAATACCAATCAGCCGTTGATCTTTTTATAAGGATGGTAGTGGGCATCAGGAAACGGTTATTATTGTCTTCGATTTTACTGTATATTAATATTTGACTTAACTATAAGAAATGTTTTCCAAGTATTATAAAATCATGTAAATAAAACGTGTTTTATATAGACGTTAACCCAATCATGTGCTCTGAAGTTACGGCGCCCCCTGCGGATTTAATGGCTGCGAACCAATTTAACAACTCAGTTTAGCACAGTGTTTCCCATCAAGAATGTTATCGTCTCCTAATCCGGTCCCCACTGATATCGTAAACCAGAAGTGGTCTTGTAAGCAAAACCAGTTCCAATGCGATCGCACGCACCCTACCGAACTGCACTGCACTAGAGAAAACATCAAGGCAAAGAACGTCCTTTGACGACGAACGCATTAATGACTTTTAATTAGACTTGCGATTTTGAACTTTATTCTGTTGGATGGATGAATGTGAATACATTGGACGATTCACGGACGCTTAAGCCGTATTTTCTTTCAGTTGTTGATGTTTAACGTCACGCATGGGCACGAGAGGTGTCGTTGGTGCAATTATCGCAATTGGCTCGTTGGCCTCTGAGCTAAAGACGCCCATCGTACTCTAAGATATGTGTGTGAGCATGTTTTTGTGTCGTTGTTACGTTATAGGAAAAGATATTTCAGCAAATGTCCACTTTAATCGTTATGTTTGTACTACGGCTAACAATATTAGAATTTGTGCCGAGGTTAGTTGCAGATAACATTCGACTGGTAAAACTTATGAAAGTAATCTGAATTTTATTGCGCGGATATAAAAAATAATGAGTGGAAACCGAATTATAACTTCAAATTGTGAAAAATATACACTTAGCTACAGGAAATTGGGGTATTTGGTTTGAAAATAATGCCATTCATATAAATATAGTTGCATATTATGTGTAACAACGACAACTTTATACTCAAAGCCCTCCGCTTTAGTGACACATTTATTGTGCAGTTGGCTTCAGTCCCGCGGCACTACGCGGCATTCTTATTTATTGCTCTTTATTGCGTAGAAATTTTGTCAAAATTGTTTCATTTGATCTTGGGATCAAAAGAAAACAGATTGACATAATTTTCTACATAATTTATTAAACTGTGGTCAACATAAACTGAACATCAGGATTAGACGAACTTGGGGCTTCATTTAAACGGCTTTTCAGTAACTGAATTATGTAATACCTATACCGAAATATCCCTTTAAAGTTGTTATGGTTTAAAGGTATTTAGCTTATGTACAATTAGTATATTTGTTTAGATTTTAGCCGTTGTTTGGTTAAGAGCATGGTGAAAACAGGTGTTAATGGAAAAATAAATAGAGTCATTGTCAACACACTCTTCAATGAAACAATTGTTTGTCTGAACCGAGAGATTTTGCAAGAACAAAAAATCATGAGTACGTTTCACTGCTTCTAATTTGCGCACTGTGCCGTGACCTATGTATACAGTTTCACCTTTATTATGCGTGCACATAAGAACATGTCCGAATAAATTTGAGTGTGTGACCTTTACACATAGGCTCGCTTACATAACACATATAATGATACCTAAAGCATTGTGTTGCTCGCACATAGACACAAAATCCAATAGATGTTCTCGGATTACATTATATCCGCCGTCAGCTACCGCGGCCATTTACAAAACTAACAGACCATATTCGGGCTTGCACTTGAATGGCTTTGCCTATTGCCCTGCCGAAACTGTTTGACACTCATCTAAAGTTCATTACTCAAATACTTTAATCCTATAATTAGATAAGTGTTTGGTTTCTGGCTACACTGAGCGGTTCGCAGGTTGTGGGTGAGGTGACCTTGTTTTTTGGTGGCGGAGTTTTTGTTACCAATGAAAATTGGGTACGTTTAAGAAAATACATTATCCTTATTATTCCATTAAACACTATTCGAAAAATTTACATATACGTAAGACGTCAAAGTTTATCCATGCTATGAGCTAAGTATCAAAATGAATTAGGTAGTTGTAAAAAATCTGTTGTTTAATAAGTTGCTTTGTGTCCCTGTCCACAATTAAACCTAATAGATGAAGACACAACCCACTTATTTACTAGGTAAGATAATAAACTTAACCCTGACTTAAACCAACTTCTAATCATTTCCTGGTTAATTTAAACCAGTTCTTAGACAGATCAGTCTCAATTACACGAGCTACACAATTCGCACGTCATCCATACGGCAATGATATATGAAAACGTCTGAAGAACTCCACTCATTGAGTTAATAACAATCTGTAAATTGCCATAAATTATTTTAATAAGGTAACTCGGTAATAATTCGATGATCAGACGGTTCCATATCGTGTGTGCGCGCACGCAACGCCTGTAACTTGAGTCGCTCACCGGTATTACGCGACGTTCGCTTTATTATATTATTATGGCTAGAGATCCTTCGACATCCGAACGCACTTCAATTTAGATTGACAGTTTTTGGTTTGTCTTTTGTTTCAATCTAACATGTGTTTTAGTTTTTTTGTGTATACAAAATTTTATTTTGGTTTTAGAAACTGTTTCGTCAGTCGAAGATTGTGCAATAGTCTTACTTTTGATTTCGGCTTCATAGGACGATTCAAATATTTTACAGTACGATTTTTCAGTGGATTGCAGTATACAATGGGAATGTAATACGGGGTGGAATTTTGACATGCCACCTGAAGGGGAAGTAGGTACTCTTAATACTTTAGATAGAAAATTTTACTCAAAGAAAACATTCCTTTATTTTTGAAAAGAAATAAAAATATGTAATATCAAAGATTTTTTTAAATTCGCTCACCGCTCACGGTAATCGATCCGACTAAAATCTGTAAAAGTAGTACCCTGTACTTTTATTACATCTATCTAAAGTACTTCCCTTTTACGTGGCATTACAAAATTCCACCCTGTATTTTGCAGTTTTGTACCACAATCGTAGTAACCTCCTCCTACTCTTCCATCAAGAAGAATTGTATTAATCAAACCAAAACTAACCCAGAAACTATTTAGTTTCTAGGTTAGTTTTCAAATAAAGAGGAAATAGTAATAGGGAAATGATCTACGCCAAAAAATTCTACATTATATATTTTCCCGTACAATACTTGACATAAAACGCAGGACTTTAATGGCAGTAGAAAACGGTCCCGCAAAGTTCGTCACGTTAGCGGGTGCTCGTTGAATGGGCACAGTTGCATGGGCTTAGCTCGTGATAGCCCACAGCATGCACGGCACACGTATAGGAAACGGCTCTACGGTTATAACCTCGTGGTTGAAGCCATAATTGTTTGTTTGTTTCCATGATCATAACTTGAGAGGGGAAATAAGGAAGATGCTCTTTATAAAGAAGATGGTGAATGTAGCTGAAAATTGCCGTGAATTTGTAAATACAATGCGATGTAAACATGATCTTAAGAATTTGGAATTTGTTGGGATTAAGTTTAATGATTTATTTCTTCGAGTGCTATTATCACTGGAGTGTGAACTCAAAGTGACTTCTTACTAAATTATGCTGTACCCTGGTGTGATTTTTGGAGACATATTATCTTTAATCTTCTTATATCTGAAAGTTTGTTAAATTACTTACACCTACTTTAATATTCACTTCATTAATAAAGAAAAATACATGTTGCCCCACTCGAAACCACAACACCACAATTGAATTTACAAAAGAAAGAACCATATTTAGGCATCATATTTATTTAACTGAATTTATGTAATGAAAGATATTAATTGTAACTTAAGGAAATTATGTATGAATCAATAAATTACTGTTTATAATTATGACTTATTATTGGATTACTTAATATGTGGTACTTTATTGATTATAGGTTCTAACTAATACGAATAGATGGAAGAATTAAAAGAATGTTCCAACTAGTTGAGATATTTTACCAGTCCGTAGTAGAAACATAAGTAATAGCAATAGTATCGCCATTTCCCGTGGATAATTGGAGTATTTATAAACGGAGAATGTTAATTATTTAGAGTTGTAACTAAGAAGCTTTAACGTACAATTTGAGCGGCATATTTATCGAAAATATGTCGATATTTACCTGACTTTTATAGTTTTTAAATAATTTATATTCCACATATGTGGGAATCAAGCGAATGTGTTCTAATTTATAGTTGGTTTATATTACTGATTTTCATTTTTTTTTTTTTTTTTAGTTTTAGTTTAGTTAGTAGAATTTCACACATAAAAACAGATATTGCAGTATGTAGCATTTACCTTCAGAAATAAGTCTTTCCCGAATCTCCCAGGCAAAGATGGTGGGGTTTTCTCTTTTGTACTGTTCTATCTTGGAGACCACGGCAGGAGTCGCTACTTTAGGCTTACTGCCTCCGATCAAACCCGGTGGTCGAAGAGTGCCTGAAACAATAAAAATATTCCATTAATAAGACGAAATGGATTTATTGGAAATCTAAATCTATTTGGGCAATAACAGGTATGTTTACCTGATATAATATTGAAAATAAACACAATTTCATAGAATACAAGAGTAGGTCGATTAGGTAATTGATATTTGGTAGTATTTTCAACCATAACCGATTTGCTTTGCGATTTCAATCACGATTCTGGTTGTCGACACGGTTGTAGATAAAAACATATTGAACAAACTGTCACCTGCTGATCGGTGAAGGAAATAAAAGAAAAATCAAAATCAAATTAGAGGCTCAAATAAAAATACCAGTAATAGCGACACGATACCGATTGATGCAATTTCATTGAGTGCTAAACGTGAGTAAACGCAAGTTACTTGTCGCGAAACAATACTTGCGACACAAAACTTGGTTTTACTCCTTAGCCCTTATTTGAAGGGTAATAAACTTCAAAATACATCTAAAAACAGCACATCAATATTTGTATTTTAGCATTTAAAAGGACAGTGGACGTGCGTCCCCACAAAAAATTGATAATCGAGCACGGCGGTAAGAATAACAATGAAAGCTTTAAATTAGTATTAATAATTACAGAATCATTGACATCGGCTAAATGAAGCCTGCATGTGACGAGACGTGAATTTTTAATTATTGTTTATCCCTGGATTTGTTTTTATTGGGCTTAAACACGTGGGACCCTGTTAATGATGTTCTGTATAAACGTAAAAATGTTGGTAGATCTATTTCAGTTTATTATACAATTCCGTCTAAAACATGCTAACTTTACAACCTTAAAGAATCAAAGCCGAATTCCTGAAAATTGAAGCAAATAACTGTTTACGAAGCCGGAAAATTGTCGTAACCGTAGACTTATGGAGTGGCTTATGATTAGAGCGACTAGTAAAAACCAACATATTCTCGGGTGCCTAAGTCAGTTAGATAATGGATGAGTGCGTGCATCAGGACAATTACGTAAAAACAGCGCTGCGGCATTCCGGCGGGCAGCGCGCGGACCGCTTGCTTTTTACGCGCACACCGCTCTTCCATACCGATAACACGCTGAATTATTCAACACATTATTTATATTCACATTTTTGTCAACGCCATTCAAGATGAATTCATAAGTCTCTTTATGTCTTGATAAGACTAAAGCTTACCGACCAAAATGGACTGCTCCAACAAAAACACAATTTCGAGTTAACATGAGGTCCGCGACACATCGCCTTAATAGGTGAAACCCATTTTAATATTCCAACCACGATATGAATTTATGTAGAAAATTGTGTGTTTTCATATGTAGTAGGTATTGGCCATAGAAAGTTGGTAAGTATGGGTAATTAAGCAGTGTAGCGTGATACAAAACTGTAAAAAGCGAACGCTACATTTTATGTAATTATTTCCACATAGATTTAGTCCGTTGCGATAATATTCATAAGTTTATTAAAATAGTAAATTAAACGCCATACGTACCTATACAAAGAAAAATAATTTTCTTATTACCTATGTAGCTAGTATCTATATCATAAAAGTGCTCACAGTACTCTTTCTCTATTAATTAACCATAAAAGGTGCCGTAGTTATGATGAACTCCATAAAGCAAGTAAGAAAAACTTGCTACGATTTATAATGTCAAAATAATATTCCTGTCACATATTCGTCTGGTTTGATTTCATAAATGATTTTTCTGGCCTTTCTGAGTCAGCATCAATATCATCCCATTCAGTACAGTCGGGGTATTTTGTGCTTCAATATCTACGTTATATTATTTTCTTATGCACGATACTTTTAGTGCATTGTTTGTTAACAAGTACCTATATCAAGTTATTTGCGATACAAACACAACATCAAAATCCTTCATAAATAACGACAAAAATGAGAACCGTTTACATATTATACAAATAATTGCTTGAGCAGCGGATGCATTGATCAACGCAGGCGACGCGACAGCGGAACGTCAAACATTACGTGGTACGTGCATGAAATCCAGCAGTACCTTTCACTGCAGTCTTACTGTAACTATTGAAAACCCATATTGCCACTCGGCCGCCGCAGAACGCCAATAACCGTTCTCCTCTTGATTGATAGCTAAATTGCAGGAGGCCGGCACACTGATCATTTTGCGATAATTAAATCGACTAGAAACGTAATCGCATGACCGGAGCCAATTACTCGCCGTTGCCTAGGCAGAGGCGGATCGTGTGAGCCACTGAAACTCTTGCTAAATGTGTATTATTTGTGTGAAACACAAGCGCGCTCCCGGCGCGTACGCACGATCTAAGGAAACTAAGCTTGTTCCACCTCAATTATTTATACTCATCAAATTAGAAAATTTTATTTCTTGCACGTAAATAAAATTACAATACCGTTGCTACGTCATAACATTTCAAATACCAAAGCTTGAACTAACGTATTTTATGGCTAAGACCTTTGGGTAAAATAGTAAAAAACATGGAAATTAAGGAAATTATGCTACATATAGAGTAATAATACGAACTACTGCATATCTAATGAATATAAACATTTATTTAAGTACTTGTATTTATCTAATTATCACGTCAGCTGGACAGCGCTTAACGCGCAGAAGTGCTCTTTAATATTGCGTGTAGTTGTTGTTATAAATAAAATAAAACAATAAATTAGCCTGGCCATCTTTCAATTGCTTCATAAATACTGAACGTCGTGTTCGTTATGATAATAAGCGTCATAACTATGATCGGCACGAATCAATTGAAAGTTTAACACTACACCATAAACGCGAGAGAAACTACATAAACACATTCACAATGCACGAACAAGGTGTCGAATAATCCCTTCAAGTTTTTGTTGTTTTCCCTTTAAACGGAGACTTATGTTGCAAAACAAAGATGAGCAATTAATCATCAGCGGTACGCTTAAGGAAGTGAGAGCCACAAAGGGACAATGCACACTCAAAACGAGTGTTAATAAATTTCCACACAGGAGTCGTTTATGGACGCTTTAAGTCATTACACGGTGCCCCCACAAAGATCTTTTTAAACGACATAGAAAAGGTCTGAATCTAGTTAATTAAATTTGTATTAAAAGTATTCAGAAGTGGGTCTTTATATTGGCTGGCGCTAAAGTTACCCGCGGCCCAATAGTGCGCTGTCATCCAGTTAATAGATCAAAATCTTTAGCGGTGAAGTGGGCCTGGATGGCCTGATTTATTGAACATAATGCAATGCGTGTTAACGATGCCTTGATTCGGTGATTGATCGACTTTTTTGTATGAAACTTGAATCAGTTTGCGCTTGCTCCCTCGGAAGCAATTAGATATTATGAACCAAACTTACTGAAGTGGATCAGGTAAGGTCTATGACATTAGACAATAGGTATATCTCATGAGTAGATATTATTTCACTTAGCCGAAGATTACTCTGTATAATTTTGCTATAGCAATACATATAACCTATAGCCTATTGAATAGATATTTAGGTGCAATTTGAATCAAATTATAGGTAAATTAAAACTTCTGCAATTTTTGTTCTATGTTACTTGCATTAAAATTATAGCTAATATGAAAACTTATAAGGTGTTAAAAATATACACCCGTAAATACCATATACTGGTAGCTACGTGATTACCTGAGGGTAAATCATAGATCCATAACAACTCACTAGGTACAACATCCTATTGACAACAGAGACCATTAAAAATTCAAATTGTCCTAGAGAATTGGAGCGGAAAAAGAAAAAGCATGATTTCTGAAGCAAGAATGTCAAGTGGGATAATTCAATTTTGATTATAGGACCAAAGCCTAAATACGGCTTCATTACTGGCCGCGGCGATCCGCGGACAATCATCTTGAGATATCATTAGCTACCAACTAATTTACGTACGACAAAATAAAATGACCGGTTTAATATCAAATTACTTAGTCTATGATTTTTGTGGCTTTTGACTTCCCAAATTATTTATAGCAAACATCCGCGGCTAAATTACTTCACTTTAAAATTAGAAACTCGAAATAAGCTACTAACTTCTCAGCGTGTCATAGTTTATAAACGATTTAGGAGATTCGCACATAACTCATGCACGCAGCTTGTGGCCGTGCATAAACCCATGTGCTTTAGTTAATCTGTAAGAGGCAGCAAACTAGACAGTGTATGGCCAATTTATTCGTCACTCCACTCGCATCGCAACCAACAATTTAATACTCAAACTCGGCCATGAAACGTTATTTATGCGTGCCCATTTCCATGCCGTCAGCTTAGAAATTGTTTAGGCTAGATAATAACTTTTAAGCTAAGGCTATGTACCTATGTTAAATACTTAAGTGGTTGGACATGACGGCCCTGGGCGGGTTGTAGTCGGGCTTCCGTGGGAACCCGACACGTGACGTTATGAAATCACCAGCGGCGAAAATTGATTGACACTACGCTCCTCTGTTCTCATAATATGCGCTCGCCTCAATACCGTTTCTACGTTTATGGTATTCTTGCACATATCACTATCTTGTGTAATATCGTTTTAACGACCCGTTTGTATCCCTACCTTGACGCACGTCACCTCTCTTGTTTCTATAGGAAAATAATTATAATTTAACTACTCAACCTTCTCGTGTAAATACGTTTACAATTTATTTCCCTGTAATGGATATAATTGATTCTCAGAACGCGACAATATCTAGAATAAAATGTAATAACGGTGATTTAATAGAAAAGATGTAATAACACTAATCCGACTCGGCAGAAAAACGTTGAAAGGAAAATAAAAATTAAATTAAATACAAAACCCTGCACATTTGGTAAGAAATATGAATGTTCAAACGGCGTAAAATAATAGAGTGCGCGTTGCTGTAAATGGTCGAGTGGTTTTGAAATCGCCCGTTCACGAGTCCTGAGCAAACACAAAGTGTCTCACGTGTCCTAATTACACACCGCTCACAGAACTAATTCAGAAAATTAACTGACTACGGCCAAGTGTCTGCAATGTCATAGTCAACTCACGCTTCGGTTGGAACTCACCTTGCTATTATAGCTCAACAATTAGCTCTATCTACATTGTTTACTTTAATCAACGAATGCACTAATTGCTATGAGCAGTTGACAAAGTCCCGGACATTAATTCCTGGTTTCCTGTTGCTTCATTATGTTAACACAATTATTGAAGATGGTCGCAGCGCATAAAGTTTCGCGGATTCGTTGGAGCAGTTAAAGATGGAGATTGTATTGAAAGGCAGCTGTGATAATTGTAAAGGAAACAGTCAAATAAAGGGTTGTCGATATGAAAAATCGTCGATGATACGATAGTTCTCACATCGACAATCGAGATCTCGGGAGCGCATGCTCGCGGCGAGGCGGCGCGTCGGCAGCGCGGGCGCATTCATCCGCACCCCGGTGGCTTATAATTAACACGCTGCAAGTTTTATGAATCGATTAGGATCTAAGCTTTCGTCAATAGCAGCTTTCGTCGCGGCAGACTCTGTCGATGCCTTATCCTTATCGGTGATTAATAGCGATTGAGATTTTTGCCCTAACCGTGTTATTAGACACGAGTTAAACTCGGATTGCGCCTGCGTCGCTTTGGATAATTGCTGACTTGTCATTGGATGATCGGATATCATTTATTGCGTTAATAAGCGGTTGTATTTAAAAAGATTTGAAATAAAATAACGGTATTTTAAGTGAAATACGATCATCTTCATTTATGCTGTTAAAATGAGAAAGAAAAAGAAAGATCTACGTTTACTATTTCAGAACTCCTGTAGAATGACCAGCTGACAATAATATTAAACATTCGATGCTAGCCAGTGAAGTAATTATGGCAAATAACTTAGTGGTTGGCCATAGCGCCTCAGGCTTCTCTGTAAAGAGCGTACGATGTACGTATAAATCAATATGCTGAAGACTTACCACTACGACATACAATAAATAATACAAACGCACACTAATTACAGAGACCAGATACCCAATAGGCATAAGTTCGCTTTATCAATTATCTACCCTCCAGCATAATTATTGAAGTTTTCTAACAAAAGTCCTTTAATATCATCTACCGTATCACAACGTATTAACGTTCACTTTTGTGAAGTGTATAAAAGACTATAATAAGCTAAGTGTGCCCTCTAACTGTATGCCAGGAGTGTTCAGGTGGGTCGGTCAAGTAAAATCGATGTAAATGTATAATTGAAGTTTTGGAATTGGGGAAAACCTAATAATTTCTATTAATTTCGTTAAATTTATTCGAGGAATAGCGCTAGAGTGGTAGAGGTAGAATGACTATTTTGGTTATCCCTAGGTATCTCATACTTAAAAATATCGATGAGTCGTCATGTGTGAACCCCAAATCGCTTTAAAGTTCTCTAGATAACAATAATATTATGTCTCACTCTCAATTTTCAACTTAAGAGAAGGGAGAGACGATAAGATCACGATGAGAATGTCATTCAACAGTTAAAGAGGTCTAAAAATGTATAAAGCTATAAGTAAATACAAAAATGAATCACAACTTATGTATGTATACCTACGTCAGGAAACGAAAAATAATACCTATAATTTGATATTCACGTAAGTGACAACCCTCAACATTTTTCCACCTAGTGCAGCTCGATAATAAGCAGGTTTCCTATTAATTTACAGAACAAAGAAAAACAACGTAAACAAAGAGCTTTTCTTTTTAATTAGACTACGTTTAAATGACCCAGCAATTTTGCGACACCCATTCGATTATAAGGCTGGACACATACAAACAGTTTAATGTAATTTAGCTTTTTATTTCTCGTAACACCCATTGATTGGCCGTTTGTAGGACAACATATGGAGGTATCGCACACTGCAGCCATCAAATATTCATATTACACCTGTCGTGATAAAAGAGCCATTGAGAAAGGTAATGTCGCTGTTCACTTTGATATGGATTGCTTTATATTCCGACTAAGTGTATAGATACCGTAATTATAGCCTTTCTTTTAGTATCGAATGTGATTTCAAAGAACTACCAGATACAGGTTTATTACTAAAACCCATACGATAAAAGAACCTTAAAACAAAATGTAGTAAAATGACGGAATTATTATTAGGATTAAAACACAACTAAATGTATAATGAAGATATTTTTAAGCTATAAAATGTGCCAAATATAACTTAAATCGTTTGCAAAGTCATCAAAAGGATATAAAAGCGAACTATACAAGTATTGCTAACAAATATCAATGTTCACGGTTCTGGTTTGGTGCTGACGTTTTTACAAACAAAATAATATCGCGTTCGTTTTTCCCTGAAGAGGTAGGCAGAAGTAGCTACCCACTTTTTGATGACGATTCGTGGTTGTTATGCCTAAAGTCATTGGTAATAATTTGAATTCCCGGGTAATATAAAAAGTGTTAATGTGTTATGTCATTCACAATACTAACTCTAGAGGTACAGTTTACACTTCTGGTTGAGATCGGAATCAAATAGATCCAAAAGCATAATAAAGTAACACTAATATCTTATTCATAAAAACATCTTGTAACATTGTACCTACTTAACCAGGATCTATTTTCTAGGTAAAGAAGGCACATCCAATACTGTTTGCCTATTCAATTCCACATTAACACCAACTACTTAACACTTAAAGGAGATTAATTCATAAAATGTTTAAAAATAATGTACTTGAATTACATCAATAGTTACAGGTGCATTTTAACTTTATTTAATTAGCACCTAATGGTGTTTTTGCTAATTAAATACACTAATCAAGTTGATTAAGTGATTAATTCTATGTAGAAAGATAGACAGGAGATGCTGATGTTTATCTAATAAACTGCATCGTTCCTGTAAAACGAGATGTTAGGGATCTTCTATATTTACCATGCTAGGATTTTCTTGTATGAAACTTAATGGGAGAAAGGCTTGACTGATTAGTTTGTAAGCTTTTAAAATCAATTATTAAGCATTTAATAAAGACGTTATGTTAAATTATATGTCTAAATATGATACGAGCATCCATGTTCACGTTTTTAGAAAAGTTTCTAAAAATATTGTAGTAAATTTTGCGCCCTTTTCTGGTAAAATTTTTGATGTTAAGAGTTCTTGTGAGTAACCACAAGAGGCGTAGAACTGATAATAATCGATGAATACGTTTTTAAATCTTGAGCACGAACCAAAAGACGTTGCCTGAAAAACTCTCTCGGCAGATAGACCAACGACATTATCAAAACATGTCATTCACCGTACCAGAACAAGGGTAAACCGTTGTTCAGCACTTTAGTAGTGGATGTCTTCTGGCTGGTGATGATGAACTTAAAAGTAAACCTTAATTGCTTACCAAGCAACTTGGTTACAGCACCTTGCTGTGACAGCACATGGTGCGCGATGTCGTAGTGTCGGAGCCCGAAGCGGGAGAGCTCCAGTAGCCTCTGTTGTGACAGCAGGGAGGAGAGAGGGTGGGAGGCCGCGCCAGGGTACAGAGGAGTGCCAGACCCACCGCCAGCTCCGCCGCCAGACGATGATGGAGATACAGGTACTGAAAGTAAAATTAAAAACTGGGAATTAAGAACCAATCGATGAAACCTTCTCATTGCATTTTGTTAAGGTTAGTCTATCATACAAGTCTCTTGTTACGGACACTGTTAGATGGAATGCATGTTACAAAATATTGGATTACATATTGAACCGTTACCCTATCAGCTTAAGTTATGTATTCTTACTCTTTCAAAAGCCAATAAACACAACCATATGCATTGCCTACAAGATTATCTCTGTTAACTACCATAACACCGGCAGCTAAGGTAATAAAGTAGCGAACATATTTACAAAACGTTGCATGAATACATTGTCAGAGAACAACCTATGTAACTCCACCTTTATTCTTCAACATTATGATATCGAAGCTTACACAAACGGAACGATTGCAATGCACTATGAGGATTAAATGTCAATGCCAATAATCCTATAAAGAATCGATTTTATTATTTCGTGCCAAAGTAAGTACTCAAGTATCTGTATTTTTAGGTTTTCATATAAATTAAGATTGCAATGTAAGTATTCTAAGTAATATTATGCATAAATGTTGTATTAACGGTAATTCAGAATCGAATATAATAAATAATTATTTATCAGTCTAAAAATTGTCAATGTTCTTGATACTATTCAAGAAGAACTCCTTGAAAAAAATTAATAAAAGCTTGTTGGAATTGCAATGTATGGGGATGACGACGCAGCCTGCAGAACTTCACCGGTTTATCAGTAGGACCTACAATCGTATCGACACCTCCTCGCAATCTTCTTTTACGACTCGCACGGGATGATAAGCTTCACCAGCAAAGTGTGAAATTACTAAAATATTCCTTGGATTAATTTATTCATATTCCTATAAACCGCATTTTTATCAGCACGATATCGGTTTTCGAATGAATAAAAAATGTAAATCAGGAGACGTATCAATTAAAATCATTAGCTGCTTTTACGATTTCTATAAAATCCGTCGGGAAAAGTAACAAAATTAAGTCATCAAAACAAATAACAACAGTAATTTGGCGGATTTTATGTCCCTCGTTGATACAGCGTTCTTTTTTATATGTGACCGTGATGGGAGTGCCTCTGGCGAAACACTCGGCCCTGATTCCACGTAAGCGGTGATTCCGTGTGCGCTCATTATGTGCCGTCCCTTTGTCATTACAATACCGTGTCAAAGGCTCAGCAACCACTTTTATTACTAGCCACCACACGCTAACCATACAGCCTGTGTGAATCGTTATAGACAACTTCAGTACGCGTAATCAACTTACTGTGATAACATGTCCATAAACCCTTCCTTACACTTCATATAAAATGGTGTAAATCTAGCAATAAAATAAATAACATTTTAATAAGATTAAGAAATATAATTTTTAAAATCAGACAGAATGGTGTAAAAATAAAATTTTATAGGCAGACAAACTGGATCCATCAATGGCATAAATACAAAATTAAAATGTTTCTCAAGCCTTAAAGTTTCGGTCTCTCAACACGTATCCGTACATATTTTTATCCACGCAATTTGTCGTTAACAACAACCAGATATGCTAAAGGCTGATCGTAACAATGCTTTCTTATGAACACATCGTAACACATTCAATTATAAATTAAGCTATTAACTTAATATACCATAATTTGTTTATCAGGTTAAGCATCGAAATTAATGCAAGTGGCATAACTTGTCCATAACTTAACACTTTTTATTAGCGAGTCAATAAGGCGATTTCGTCAACGAAAGTATTATCAAGCTTTCGTGAAGCACTCAAGCGAAATTGACACTTGTAGGAAATAAGTAAGGAACATTTTAGATGGCAGGCCCTATTCCGATGAAACGCTCGGAACTCGGCTACGACGTATAATTTCTCGTGTAATCGCTTTAATAATGGGAGAAAAAAAGTGATATTATCTGCCCACGGTCAATAAATTAACACCGTTTAGAGCAAAAATGTAGATTCTTAGTGTCGCTACTATTATAAATAAATTGGACTCAAACGAGTAGAGGTTTTAAAGGAGATCGTGTTGGTGAGTGCGTGTGTGTGTTTTTATTAGGGTGCGTGAGCAGTGAGGCCTTATTAAAATATTTCGAGTGGAAACTGGAAGGACCACTTAGTGGTGCGCGGGAGTTTCACGCCTGAGCTGATACAACATTAAATCGACAAGATAGCTTATTTGTGCTGAGCTGAGGATTAGTGGCAATAAATCACTGATTAGAATGTATTGACTGGCGTTGACTCCGGCGCATGGTCGCCGCTATTATTTATTGACCATCAGTTTTTTAGGCTTTTACGGCTCCCATTTTATCTATTTGTTAATGTTTAACGACTCCAACTAGACAGTTTGTTTATTTAATTAGCTCCACTACTAATGCAAATTGTGATTTGCTTATCTTATGGATGTGTGTGGTTAAACTTAGTTTTCAATTACTAATGGAAATGAGATGTTCAGGTCATTCGTGAAGAACACTAAAACACCTTGCTATTACGCATAAAACACCGGTTAGGTTAACGCACTTAAAACAGAATTAGATAATGATCATAAAACGCATGGCTAATTAACGCTATAGCTACAATAAGTTAATTTTAACAACATAGTTTGAAATACAATTTACATACGTGTAGGCAATATTTTCTGTGGTTAATAGTTAAATTGTGTAAACAAACAAGCAAATTTGGTCGATACACCTGCGCAGGCGTCGTATAAACATGTAAAGTGATGTGAGAAGGGGAGCGCGCGACGAGCGTCGACTTCGTCCGAATGTAAAACTCTTTTATGCAAAAAATGTTCTACCCGCGAGTCTTGCCACTATTAATGTCATCACACGGCGGAAAATTACCACCTTTCGTGTAAATTTCAATGCGAGATCGAAAGTGCACTCGATATTGCCCCTTTATGATTGCAAGGCATTACATGCAAAAACAATTCTTTTGGTTTTGTTTAAAGATACGCATGAATTATGGATATGAGTTGGGTTAAAGACCGTTGTTACTCGCGTCTGTATTAAAATGGCGATTTCAGTGATTTGAGTTAAATTGTCTGTGAAATGATCTCAAAAGAACAAAATACGGTAAATATCACGGATATGAAGTGAGCCATTAATAATAATTGCACTCGGTTTGAAAGCAATCAAAATAAAAGCATTACTGTATTTTTTTTTCATTTGGCTGGACCGAATCAATAAACCCGTACTGCTTATTGGAAAAGAAATAAACAATTACCTACTTATTTAAGTGTGAATTGAAATATTGAATCAGTTCTCATAGTTCAGAAACGAGTTCTCGTTTTTGTCAAAACCTTTTAAGTTTATGAAGCATCAATTGATATTAAATTATTGCACAGTGGGCGCTGAGAGTATATCAATCGACAATCGTGTTTGTGGACAGTCAACCTCATCGTAATCTCGCTGGCGTTTCTATTAAACCTTATTGCAACTTATTTACGTTCAAGCTTTACATACATTAAGTTGAACAGGTAACTAATGAGTGAGACATCTAGAGACCGTAGTTTTAAAGCTGCTATAAAATTAGCATTTCCATGACAAACACGGTATAGAAAATTTCTCTCATTCTAATTGATGGAATTCGTTTGATCATCTTTGATCATCATCTTCGGTTTAAAGCACAAAAGTAAATTACAGTAACTGTTTTATTTTCTTGATAGGAAAATAGACTAATTTATTTTTGTACCGAAACACTAGTCAGTAATAATCGAGCACTATAAAATGTATGTAAAAATACACGTATGTTTATTTAAATTGAAAAGGGTTTGTTAAAGGTTACACTGCAGGACGTACAATAAAAATAACAATTTTAATACAAAATACGTAAAACTTGCAGATACACTGGAACCAATGACAGTATTGTAAGAATTGTGTCATTTAAGTAAGACAACCGTGTGTACCTGCAGTTGGTCGGTGAGATACACAGTGCGGTTCAGTTCCTCCAACCTGCAAGGTTGAATTAAATGAAATTTATTTGATAACGACTATTCCTAGAATTTTGTATATATTATGTTTATTTAGCCCTTACTTAACAATAACTTAATTAAGTTTCCTGCCGACAGACAATTGTTAAAAGCAAATCCTACGCTAACACATTTTCCCAGACGACCTAGGCGGCGTTTAACGTGTTCCGTCTTTTTTAATAATTTAATAAAATAGGAATGATTATGAATGGATTCACATTGATTATATGTATTATAAACGGACCTTGACCATTAAACAATCAACTACGACTTACGAAAATGCAACCATTATGAATAATGCAAGGCTATAAATTCTACGTTTTGACGACTCTACATGCACCTGAAAAAATACACTCACTATCAAAATCTTATTTTAATCGAAATCATTCGTATATTATAATTTTTTTTTTCTTCTATTAGGGTACAATTTAATTTGCCACATTCAAATAACAGTCAAAATAACAAAATTGCTGGCTTTATTGGTGTTAAATAAAAGGTTTTTAAGTAAAACAAAAACCAATGAAATAGGATCATTGGTTTGTGAGACCACAGACACGCAGACAACAAGACATACAAAGGTTTCAATTTTATAGCGCCTAACTTTATGATTCCATAATAACGTTGATCCAACGAACTCTCAAGCGTATAAATTCTTAATTAAGTGCCCGAAATGATTAACATTGATTGAACATTGATTTGGATAACCTAAACCATAATAGGTTGCCTATCAGTTACACAAAATTTGAGGTTTAGACATTATTATACACACTTTTAGAAAATATCATATAGTACTTAAAATGTGTTCTTGGAATCAATGAATTTTACAGTGAATTTAGTGTGTAAATGGATTAGGCGTATTTGTATTTCGAACTTTGGATTTTATGACAATTATACATTTATATACGTATATGTTTATTCAAATCTTTCGTAATATGGGGAAAGCTTACTGCCATAAACTGACTAGATATTGACGATTACTTAGAATCAAGTTCCTTGTTTATTTAGAACCTAGAAAGGTTAAATAGGTAATAACACCAGTGGGGCAGA